GCCTGTGTTGCTGAGCAGGACGGACCCGGGACGGCAGCAGGGCTCTATGTTGATGTGAGCCCCGTTCCCCGTTTCTCTCCTTGCAGACAGTCTCAGGCGCAGCAGTGAACCCCTGTGGCTGCAGGGCCCTGAAGTCATTTGCTCTCGTCTCTGCAGGTATTTCAGGGTTGCTCTGCTCCCCTCCTCCACGGACGTCAGCTGTCTGTTTCGAACAAAGGTGCACCCGGCCACGGAACCCCTTCTGTTCAGCGACATGTTCCGAGGCGCGGAGGAGTGCCTGGTGGGTGGCCCCGGTCCCGCCCCTGGGACCCTCGCCCGGACACCCCCAGGGTTTCTAGTTGCTGTGTGCCGCCCCGACATCACCACACACCCGCCCAGGGCCTCCGACACACCCAGTGGCTGTCTCAGCTTCCATGTGAAGGAGTGATCCCAGGTTTTCGTTCTTATTCCAGACCTTTGACCTCTGCTTCTGCGTGGTGACTCTACAGGCTACTTTCCCTTCCTACCCTCTGACCTCTGTCTGTCTGTCACCTGGGAGCTTGTTACTCAGTACGAGTCTGTGCTGGGTGCCCTGTACATAATATCTCAGGAAATCCTCATCGCTTGTATAAAAAAGGTATAGTCGCCTCTATTTTCAATAAAGAACCACAGAGAGAGCTAATGTACAGCCACCAAATAACCCCACACACAATTCACTGTCACAAACTTAAATTGAGCGAGACACTGAGTATAAAGTCCCTGTGTCAGCTCACTCTCCCAGCCTTGGTAGCGGAGCATCTAGGCAGACATGCGTGTTGTTAGTTAGGCCAATACGATATTTAAATGCTAAAGCAGAAGACTTCGTACAACTGACAGTGACTTTAACACACTGTTGTGCATCGCACCAGAAAACCATTCCACACGAGTAAAATACGGTGCTCCAATGCGCTAGGTGAACGGTGGGTCTCTCACCGAGCCTTTCCCGCGGTGCAGGGGAGACACAAACACCTGTCCCCACGCACAAAGCTGAAAAGAGTGAAAGATCTCTTACGCATATTTTGTCTGTATATAAAAATGCCTGGTACTATCTGACAATGGAGACAGTTAGAAAGAAGCAGAGATGCCCTGGCTGGTTTGCTCAGTGAAGAGAGCGTTGGCCCACAAACTGAAGGATCCAGAGTTCAATTCCGGTCCAGGGCACGTACCTCGGTTGCAGGCTCCATCCCGGCCCTGGTTGGGGCATGTTCAGGAGGCAACCAATCCATGTGCCTCTCTCACATCCATGTTTCTCTCTCTTTGTCTCTCCCCCTCCCTCCCACTCTCTCTAAAATATCAATGAAAAAATATCCTTGGGTGAGGATTAACAAAAAAATTTTAAAAAGCAAGAAGCAAAGATAGACTAAGTAGGCTGTCAGAAAGGCTTAGTATAAATATATGTGTTAGGAGCTCCATAAAGTTAATAAATATGTTAAGTGATCTTCTTATAAAGTGATACAGTTTAATTTAGATCCTGGCTGAAAGTGTGATTTGGTGAAATATTAAAACTTTAACCTATTTTTTTTTTATATTCTAACTTAGTTAAAGAAAAATTGTTCTAATTTCTCATTTAAGAACCACCATGGAGTTTTTTGTTTGTTTTTACCTTTTTCAGTAGATAATGGACTTTTGTAAATAATAATCAGATCACTCATAACATAGGATGTATAATGGTTTATACGTAGTCATTTGTATTTGTATTTTTAAACTTTAAAAAAAATTTTCACACTTACAAAATGTTGCATGCTTAGTCATTAGGTTGTGGCAAAACAGTATCTCACAAAACAATCCCATAATTGGCTTTTGTTTTTTTAATATTTTTAAATTGATATCAGAGAGGAAGGGAGAGGGAGAGAGAGATAGAAACATCAGTGATGAGGGAGCATCGTTGATCGGCTGCCTCGTGCACACCCCACACTGGGGATCAAGTCCACAACCCAGGTGTGTGCCCTGACAGAGAATCAAACCAGTGACCTTCTGGTTGATAGGTCAACGCTCAACCACTGAGCCACACCGGCTGGGCCAGAATTGGCTTTTAGATTGGGATCATTTCTTATTCAGTCACACCTGAAAACATAAGACATCTTCAGGTTTTTAAAAAAATGTAATGCTTTATATCATGAATATTGCTTTTTTTTAAATCCTAAGACAAGCTTGCCCTATAATCTTAATTATATCAGGAGCAGATGTGGATTTAAACATTCTATCTCCTCTCTTTTCTTTCTCTCGCCTCCCATAGGCTGGAACTCAGATCAGTCTGGCCGATTTGCCGTTTTCCAATGAGATTTTCACTCTGTGGTATAATCTGCTTCCTTCTAAGCAAATGCCCTCTAAAACGAATGAAGAAGAACACGAGGATTCAGTATTCCAACCAAACCAGCCATTGGTGGAGCCCATAGACCTGGTGAGTCAAAATGAGAGAAGAAAGTCATTGCGGTTTAATTAACTAACGGGATAGAAGGCTGTGATGCCAACGTGCTTCATTCACTCTCGCTCTCCTTCCTTCCTCCCGCCTCCTAAGAGGAAGGAAAGATGATAAAGAATCACTTGTTTCTGCTCACACTTCCTCCCATAAACATAGCCTGACGTGGAGGCGCGTTGCTTTGGGTGACATGAACAACCTTTTGACCTAAGTTTATATCTTTACACATGGTGTTCACTGTCAAGTTATACACTTGAAACTGTTACATTTTTTTGCAGAGGTTAAAATATAACCTTAGTTTCCATTTGTAACACCAAGCTCCACAAATATTTTCTATTACAAAGTGTGTTGTAACCAATAGTCACGCTTCACGACTTCACAGAATTGACTAAGGGGCTGTCACCGATCTGGCATCTGTGGGTGCTGCTGCTGAGTCACGTTTATAGACTGTCTGTGAGGGAAGACCTTACAGCGTGAGTCAGACGATTAAAGCAACAGGGCTCAGCTGGTCATCTGCGCTGACCCCATGGGCACTGTGGTGGGCGGAGGGAGACCGGCGTGGGGGAGAGCCCATGTGACACACCAGCTTCGTGGTCAACACTCAGGCATTCAGAGTGCTTCCATCATGTCCCCGTGTGCAAGCTTCTTCATAAGCTTTATGCCGTATAATTCACATACCATACAGTCCACCCCTTTAAAGTGTACGGTTCCCCATCTGGACCACACAGTTCAGTAGTTTTTAGTTGATTCACAGCCGTGTGCAACCCTCACCACGTCTAACATTAGACATCGCATCCTCCCAAAAGGGAGCGCGTAGCCTTTAGCTTACAGGCACTCCCAGTTCTGACCCCTGCACCCAAGACAACCATTCATCTTCCTTCCGTCTATAAATTAGTTAATTGTGGGCATTTCATACAAATGGAGTAATGCAATACTTACTCTCTTGTGGCTGTCTTCTTTCACTTAGCATACTGTTTTCAAGATACACCCATATAGTAACATGTATTAGTGCCTTGTTATTTCCAAGTAATATTCCACTGTAGGGATATACCACCTTTTATGTATCTGTTCATCAGCTCATGGCCATTTGGGCTGTTGATATTGTTTTACTCTTATTAATAACACTGCTATGAACGTTTGTATAAACTTATATGGACATGTGTCTTCATTTATCTTGGGGACATACCTAGGAGTGGAATGGTTGGGTCAAATGTTGAACATGATTCTAGGTTTCACATGTTGAGGAGCTGCCAAACTGTTTCCCAAATTGGCTGCACCATTTTATATTCTCGCCAGACCGTTTGAGGTCGGTTTCCCACACTCTCGCCCGTGGGGTTAACCTGTCTTTTTCACTCCAGCCAGGCTAGTGGGGAGGAAGGGGTTTCTCTGGGTTCATTCTCATTTCCCTAATGACTAAGATGTGGGGCATATTTTCATGGGCTGGTCATTAGTATATCTTTTTTTCTTTTTGAAAACTGTCTATTCAGATCCCTTGTTTGCTTTTTAAATGGGTTATTTATCTTTTTATTATTGAGTTATGGGAGTTCCTCATATATTCTTGATAGAAGTCTCTTATCCAGTAAATGATTGCAAATATTTTCTCTCATGCTGTGGGTTATCGTTTCATTTTCTTGATGGTTTTATTTGTAGTAAAGTTTAAAATTGTGATAAAAATCAAATTGTGTATTTTTTTTCTTTCATTGCTTATGTTGTTGATGTCACATCTAAGAAGGCTTTGCCAAACTTAACATCACAAAGATTTACTCCTGTGTTTTCTCCTGAGAGTTTTAAAGTTCAGTTTTATTTTTAGGCCTTTGGTTCATTTGTTTTTTTATGTGTGATGTAACGAATGGGTCCAAGTTCATTCTTTTTGTATGCGGGCATGCAGTTGTCCCAACACTATTTATTGAAAAAAACTACTCTTTCTCCCATTGAATTATCTTGCCCAAAATCGATTGACCACAAGTGTGAGCATTTATATTACAGGACTCTAAATTCTGTTCCCCTAATCTACATGTCTGTACTTAGGCCAGCACCACACTGCTTTGATTACTGTAGTTTATAAATATTTTGAAATCAGAAAGTATTAGTCATCAAACTTTGTTTTCCTTTTTCAAGATGGTTTGGGCTGTTCAGGGTCCCTTGCATTTCCATATGAATTTTAGCACCAGTTTATCAATTTACACACACAAAAAAAATAGGGTTTTGATAGAGACTACATTGAGTCAGTAGGTCAGTTGAGGGCATTGTTGCCTTAACGGTGTTCGTCTTCTGATCCATGAAGACAGGATGTCTTCCCATCTATTTAGGTCTTCCTTAATTTCTTTCAACACTGTTTTGTATTTGTCAGAGACCAAGTTTATGCTTCTTTTGTTAATTTTATTTTTTTTGATGCTCTTGTAAATAGAACTTTTTCTTAATTACATATTCAGATTATTCATTGCATAATTCATTTTTGTCTATTTATCTTGTATCCTGCAATCTTGCTGAACTCATTTATTAGTACTAATAGTTTTTTTTAGTGGATTCCCTAGGATTTTCTATGTATAAGATTATATCTTCCGAAAACAGGGTTAGTTTACTTCTTCCTTTCCAGCTACTGTGTGTTTCTGACTCTTGCCTAGTCTCCCTGGCTGGAGCTCCCGGTGCAGTATGGGAAGAAGTGGTGAGCGCAGGCCTCCTTGTCCTGTGCCTGACCTTCGGGGAAGTTTCAGTCTCTCACCGCTGAGTGTGATTTTTGCTGTGGGTTTTTGTAGATGTCCTTCCTCAGACTGAGGAAGCCCTCCTCCTGGTTTGCTGAGTGTCTTTATCATTATAGGTTATTGGATTGGACAGGAGCTTTTCAGCATTTATTGAGATGATCATGTGGTTTCTGTCCTGTATTCTATTCATATGGTTTATTGATTTTCAGATATTAAGCCAATCTTGCATTCCTAGGATACATCCCCACTTGGTCATGGTGTATAATCCTTTTTATATGTTATTAGATTTAGGTGTGTGTTTTTTTTCCAGCAGTTTACTCTGATGTGCTAATATGATTTGTGTGTGTGTTTATTCTAGTGAAATTCTCCATCATTTTATCCGTTTTCTTAAATATATTAACTGTAAAATTATAAATTTCTTTTATAATAGGTCACTGGTGAGTCTGCCTCTTTTAAATATATTTTATTGATTTTTTACAGAGAGGGAGGGAGAGGGATAGAGAGTTAAAAACATCGATGAGAGAGAAACATCGATCAGCTGCCTCCTGCATACTCCCTACTGGGTATGTGCCTGCAACAAGGTACATGCCCCTGACTAGAATTGAACCTGGGACCCTTGAGTCCGCAGGCTGATGCTCTATCCACTGAGCCAAACCTGTTAGGGCGAGTCTGCCTCTTTTGTCTGTTGTTTATCTCGGCCTCGGTCACTGGGTCTGTTGTCAGTGGAATGCTGGGAGTTACGTCTGAAAGTGCAGAGGCTCTGGCTGCAGGCCTCCTCTGGAGAGGGTGTGCTCCTCTCCTGGAAGGCAGCTCACAACTGGGGGCCCTGAATTCCAGCTTTTCTCCCTTAGGAAGGCGAGACGACTGGAATGCCTCCAGCCGGCTGCACGTTGCTTTGTTTCTCAGTTCCTTGCTTGCACGATGGCAGCTTAGGAATGGCAGGTGCCTCTGTGGGGAGTCACTTTAGAGTCGCTTTCTCCGGTCCCTTGCTTGCTGGCAGCACCGTCTGTTGGTCTGAGGGCCTCCCACCAGAATTGGCATGTGCCCCCCCCCACCCCCCCTCTGGGAGAAGAGTGCAGTGGTGGTCGGTCCGCCCGCCTGCAGTTCCCTCGGCCAGGGCTTGGCCCTCTGGTCCCCATCGCCTTTGTGGCTCTTCATCGCGTAGAAACACCTGGAGTTTCTGTTGGTTTTATTCTGTTCATCTTTCATAGTCTCAGCAGGAGAACTAGGTCTAGTCCGGCTTCCTTTTCACAACGGGAAGTCCCACCTGATGAGTAGCTCACTTATTTCTGGAAGGGCATCTGTTCATGCCATCTGTTCTACTCTCCCCAGGATGCAGTGTCAGCCTTACTCGCAAGAACATCGGCGGAGCTGCTGGCCGTGGAACAAGAATTAGCACAAGAAGAAGAAGAACCGGGGCCGGGAGAGGAGCAAAGGGGCCCAGATGGAGACTGGTAAGGCCTTCCCCTCCTTTTGCTGTTGGGAGCTCAAGGAGGATGCGCTCCGTTTCTCATAAGAAACTTTCAGCCCGGCCTGTGGCTCAGTGGTTGAGCGTCGACCTAGGAACCAGGAGGTCATGGTTCTACTGACCAGGGCACATGGCCGGGTTGCAGGTTCGATCCCCAGGAGGGGGCGTGCAGGAGGAGGCAGCCAATCAATTATATATAAAAAATTTTTAATTTTTATATATAACTAGAGGCCCGGTGTGTGAAATTCGTGCACTGGGAGGAGGGGGTCCCTCAGCCCAGCCTGCACCCTGTCCAATCCGGGAGCCCTCAGGGATGTCAGTAGAGTTTGTACAGAACACATATGTTGTGAAGCCCCCACTTATCACAGCACCCAGACCCATGCCATGGCTTTTGTTGACGACAAGGTCACACGGCTTGAAGGGTCTTCTGTTATTTCAATAGTAAAACTCCCTTCCCATGGCTTCCGCCCCTGTGGACCCTGAGCACAGGGGATCATGGGTATTTTTACTCCTCATGTCTTTATCCACGCTTAGCAGAGAGTCACTCTGTTCCATTCTACAGTTAAGTTTACAAGACATGGCCCAGCCAGCATGGCTCAGTGGTTGAGCGCCAACCTAAGAACCTGGAGGTCACGGTTCGATTCTCGGTCAGGGCACATGTCTGGGTTGCGGGTTTGATCCCCGGTGTGGGGCGTGCAGGAGGCAGCCAATTAATGATTCTCTCTCATCATTGATGTTTCTATCTCTCTCTCCCTCTCCCTTCCTCTCTGAAATGAATAAAACTATATTTAAAAATTTTTTTTTACAAGACACAGACAACTAACACCAAGTTATATTCTAGGGAGTGACAGTATTTTAAACGGCGGGGCTAACCTTAATATTTGATTTTCAGTATATTTCTATTTTAATCTGTAGGAATTAGGTCAAATTGCATGAGTTTGGCATTTTCATACCTAACTATGGTGACTTTGCTGTCGGTTGCTGGAGAGAACTTTATTTTTCATGATCATTTAGTAAACAGGGCTTGGATCGTGATGTGTGTCCGCGGTTCCCTGCCCTGGTACCGTGTGGACGTCCCAGGGTGCACTGTGCTGGGACACGCCGGCTGGACTTAGAGTGTGTCTCGCTTCGTTTCTCCGAAGGTTGGCGATGCTGAGAGAGGCCTCTGACGAAGTGGTGGCTGAGGAAGAGGCCGGCGTGGCGTTGCCCGGGGGAAGCAGGCGAATGGGAGACCTAAGCTCATGCCCGAGTGTGCCCGAGACAGCTGAAGACACGAGGAGGGGAGGAAACAGCTGTGCCAACAGCTCTGGCAGCCAGCCCCCTCCGGGAATGCCCACCCTGGTGAGTACTTCCAGCTGCACTCTCCCCAGGCAGGGCTCTTATAGGCACCCTGTCGGCTGAGTTTGTCTCTTCGGGTATAACCCCACACCAAGACTTGGCGGAAGCTGATCGCCGTAGGCATCGATGGAGTCGGCTATCAGAAGCATCGGAAATGCTTTAAAATTGTACCAGGTGTACCGGTTAATAACTCGGATTTTGTAATTAAAGAAAACACGATAATTTCAAGAGAAACATCAAAAGTGCTTTATTCAAAGTAATGTCCATTGCTAGCTACATATTTCCCCCATCTTTCAGGTAATTTGTGAATACCGTCCCAATAGAACTTTTCTTGTTTTGAGGCAAACCATTCAGAGACCCAATTTTCCACTTCTTCGTACATTTTGAAGTGCTGCTCAGAAAGTGCGTGTGCCATTGATCGGAACAAGTGGTAATCTGAAGGAGCAAGGTCTGGTGAATACAGTGGGTGGGTTAATACTTTCCAGGCAAGATCTTTAAACGTGTCTTTAAGTGGTTTTGAAGTGTGTGATGGTGCGTTATCATGAAGCAAAATTATTTTGCCATGTCTTCTGGCACATTCTGGTCGTTTCACGATCAAAGCATGGTTCAAATTGATTATTTGTTGTCGGTAGCGATCAGTATTAACGGTTTCACCTGGTTTTAGAAGCTCATAATACACCACACCTTCCTGATCCCACCAAACGCAGAGCATTGTCTTCTTTCCGAAGCGATTTGGCCTTGCAGTCACTGTTGATGGTTGACCTGGATCAACCCATGATTTTGTGTGTTTGGGATTCTCAAAATAAATCCACTTTTCATCGCCAGTCACAATTCAATGCAAAAAAGACTTTTGTGCTGTTGAAGCAAAATTTTACTGATGACTTTTCGGTTTTCCATTTGTCTTTTGTTCAGTTGATGTGGCACCCATTTTCCTTCCTTTAAAATCTTTCCCATTGCTTGTAAACGATCGGAAATCGTTTGCTGAGCAACATTTAATCTTTCTGCAAGTTTTTTTTGAGTTTGACATGCATCTTCATCCAATAATGCTTGTAATTGTTGGTCTTCAAACTTTTTTGGTAGACCTGGATATTATTTGTCTTTCACATCGAAATCATCACTTTTAAAGCGTTTAAACCAGTGTTCACAGGTATTCTGAGATGGAGCATGTTCACCATAAGCTTCCCAAAGTATACGATAACTTTCAGCAGCCCTTTTCTTCAAAATGAAGTAATGAATTAAAACTTCCCACAAATGCTCTTTTTTTGGCACGAAATTCGACATTTTTAAGCGTAAAAATATCTATGATGTTAACACCTTCAGAAAATTTGACATATGAAGTTTTGAAGCATGCTGTCAATACAACAAAATAGCGTACATATCAAATTGCATATAAACATATGTGTAACTCCCATCTATTGAAAAAAATCCGCATTATTAACTGGTACACCTGGTAAATGGGCCCCAAATATTCATTCCCCACTTAGCTTTTATAGGAGAAGGTAAATAGTGGTACTTCGATCTGGTGACTGCTCTGTGAGTGTTTATTAAAAGCATTTTCAGAATTTCCTGGGTGACCCCAGGATGATTACTTAATTGCATTAAGTTTCATAAATGTTGTAAGTTTATTTCCATTTCAAACGTGCAGTAAACGTTTAAAGTTCACGCCTGTTAGAGGGTGTTCTGATTGGAGGTGGCAGATGACCCAGTCCAGGCACAGGCTAGTTCAGTGACAGACACATTGAGGGGACATTATGTTCAAGCTTTGAAGGTGCCAGCAAACTTGGGATGTTATAACAAGCTTAGACAATTCCTTATTCCTAAGAAAAGCAATACCACATGTTCCCTGGCTGAAGACTTCATATGGGTGGGTACGTATAGCTTCATAGTCCACGTAAGCCCATAACTTTGCAGTAGATTTCATTTTCTTGTTTAATTACCTTTATCATTTATTCTGGAAAAAGCACTCATCCGTTGAATGCTATTTAATGATGAGGCATGTCCAGATAAGATTGTTCATAGAGCCCGTTTACCTTCTGTCAATGGAAACCTTCATTCTTTAGGCCTAATCTGTTAGGACAGAGATCACCCTACCCACCCCCTCCGTGGTCGTCTCCTGGGGTCCCATCAGGAGTCACGAGGCCCTTCTCTCAGAAGAGGCCCTAGTGCTAGATGGGTCTGTGGTGTAAGGTTGCGTCTTTCTTTTGTCCTTAGAAGAACGGGGTATAAATGAGCCCACGTGTGTCAGCTCCTGACGAAGGCCTTCCATTGCAGGTTGATAAGGAGACAAACACAGAGGAGGCTGAGGACGCTGGCCTGGCGGTTCGGCCCAAAGAGCGCAGCGGGCTGAGCGCGCGGCAGCGCCCCCTGGTGAGGAGCAGCGTGATCGTGCGCTCGCAGACCTTCTCGCCCGGGGAGCGCAGCCAGTACATCTGCCGGGTAAGGACCGGCCCCTGCCCAGGGCGGAACATGGTACATGCCTGGGACATGCACATGTGGTGGGCATCTCAAACTCCGACCACAGATAGGAACCGCTAGGAGTGCTTTTATAAAATACTCATAAATACCACACTCTTGTGATTCGTTTTAGTTTGGTTTTGGGGTGTCCCCCCCCCTTTCCAAAATTTAATGTCTCATTGGCTCTAGGGCCATTTATTTGGCAAATATGTGAAGTTGCAGACCTGGCTACTGAGTACACTTGGACTTGGGTCTGTATTTAGAAACTGCAGGTGATCTGAGGGTTATCTTTTGTAGACTTCTGTGCACGTTACACACCACGTTGGTCCTGCTGGACCAAAAACTGTGAATTGGGTTTTAGAACCAAGTCATCTTTTAGTGATGGCGCTAGGCACCGAATCAGATTCACAGTTCTGTGGCGAATATTGTGGGACTCATACCAATGTACCCACCTCTAGTTCCAGTAGAATTTATGGCTTCTAGTAATATAGGTTCAGTATTATAAAATGGGGTGGAAAGTGCTATTAAAATGTATTTGTTTGATTCAACAAATGTGTTTATTAGCACCTGCTGTTAAGCATGTTTCTAGCTCCTTGGGATCTGTCTGAAGCAAGGACCCAAGCTCTGCCCTTGCAGAGCTGCGTTCTTGTGGGCCGAGCCCAGCGATGAGCAGTGGACACGATGTGTCTGGGATGGGGACAGGGCTGTGAAGACGAGGGGCTGGGATGCTGAGGCGAGGGGCACAGGTGTAAGTAGGTTCGAGTGGGCTCACTGATGAGGTGATATTTCAGCAACTCCCTGGTGCCGGCGAGGGGGAGCGAATGGGCCGACTGGGCTAAGAGTTGTCTAGGTTGTGCAAACTGTGTCTCAACCCCAACCTGTACATCAGCTTTTCTTTTAAAAATAAATGTTGTGGGCCCTAGCCAGTTTGGGTCAATGGATAGAGCGTCAGCCTGCGGACTGAAGGGTCCCAGGTTCGATTCTGGTCAAGGGCACATGCCTGGGTTGCAGGCTCGATTCCCAGTAAGGGGGACATGCAGGAGGCAGCCGATCAATGATTCTCTCATCATTGATGTTTCTGTCTCTGTCTCCCTCTCCTTCCTCTCAGAAATCAATTTAAAAAAATAAACAAATAAATGTTGGGGGGAAAATAAATAAAATTAAATAAATGTTGCGTATTAGCTGAAAACAAAAAGGATCATTTTCTGTCAGAGTCTGTGCAATTATCTTAACCATGACTTCTGATAACTGCCACCAAAAGGCACTTGTTTAAATTATTCCCAAAGATTAAGTCATTTAAGGAAAAAACAGCACAGGGCAAAGCGTGTTTGGGGAGGATTTTCTGTAAGAGATAAGCTGTTATCACCATCCCTTTGTCGGCTCCGTTATGCAGTGATTTTCTTTCTTTTTTTAATCCTTTATTCCAGTTAAATCGCAGTGACAGTGACAGCTCAACCCTGGCTAAAAAGTCTCTGTTTGTGAGAAACTCCACTGAACGGCGCAGTTTGAGGGTCAAAAGGGTACGTATTCCGTCAGCACAGCCCGGTCCTACCCCACCCGGAGTCCTGGCTGCCACACGTCCGCGCCGACTGGCTCTTGGGCTCTTGAGTGAAGCCGCTGTGATGACAGGGATGCACATGTTCCAGACCTTCACGCTAGGAGGTTCAAGTTTCAGCCCCTTCTCTCTTCTGTCAAATAGTCCAGCTTCTCTTAGTAATCTCCTATTTTCCATTCCCGCTGCCAGCTCTGTAGGCAAGAAGTGCCCTCCTGTTCCCCTGCGTATGGTCTCACCCGGCCTCCTTTGAAGTTCTGTCCCCAGGCCAGTCCGGCCCAGGCTGAGCGACCACCCTCCCCTGAGATCCTGTGGCACAGCGGTCCCACCTCACAGTCTCCCATGTCCTCTAACTCCTCCTCAAGGTCACACACTGCCCTCCCCTCCCCTGAGTCCTGTGGCACAGCGGTTCCCACCTCACAGTCTCCTCCAGCCTCTAACTCCTCCTCAGGGTCACACACTGCCCTCCCCTCCCCTGAGTCCTGTGGCACAGCGGTCCCACCTCACAGTCTCCCATGTCCTCTAACTCCTCCTCAGGGTCACACACTGTGTCCTCTCCCTAGGGTTTTGCCTACAGACCCCAGCAGACATTCATTCATACATATTCAGGTTATTTCTTGATAAACCGATAAGACTGGCTGCAGGAAGAACAGCCGAGATGCGGGGGTGAGAGCTGATATGAGATGATGGGAAACGGAGGAAGGGGCCAGGATTGAAGCGTTGCTTAGAGGAGGGATCAGATCTGAGCCCCGCCACTCACAGGCATGAAGGCAAAAGGTGTGAGCGCGGGGAGAGTGTGTCCTGAAATGAAGGACTGTAGGTTCCGCACACTCATTGGTTTTCCCAGAGGGCGGCCTTCGTGCAGCCGAGTGGCCAGGCCGAGGAGGCTCTCCTGTGTGATAACAGGAAAGTCTCAGGCTGGAACAGTGAAGGTTTGCTTCTTGCTCAGCACTTGCTCATGCCGTTCGGCTGGGTGCCCTGCTGCTGTGGTCCTCCCTCGGGACCCGTCTGGGATGCAGCGGGTGCAAGAAGCGTGCAGACTGACACTGGCGTTGAAAGCTTCCGCTGGGAGTGACACACGGCACTCCCGCTGACCATCACTGGCCAGGGCTCGTCACTCAGCGGGCGAGGCCTCCCCCAGGAGCCAGGAGCTGCCACCCCCGGTGCCAGGAAGCAGGGGCAGCGGGTGATGGGGGCGGTGCGCTCAGGGTGTTTCGTGGTTTGTTTTCCAACCTCCCAGGCGGTTTGCCAGCCCGTCCTCCGAAGAGCGGCCCAGGAGTGCCCGGTGCGCACGTCCCTGGACCTGGAGCTGGACCTGCAGGCCTCGCTCACCCGCCAGAGCCGCCTCAATGACGAGCTGCAGGCGCTGCGGGACCTGCGGCAGAGGCAGGAGGAGCTGAAGGCCCAGGGGCAGACGGACCTCCCGCCCGGCGTGCTGGAGGACGACCGGTTCCAGAGGCTGCTGCGCGAGGCCGAGAAGCAGGTACAGCCCCGGGCGCCGGCTAGGGGGGGATGGGGGGGGCGGCGTGCAGAGCCATCCCTCCAAGGCCGCCTCCTCAGCTGGCTCGGCTCTTCAAACCCCTTTCCAACAGCTTGGAGCACCTCCCTGTTGTGGCCTTTTTAAACCCAGGATGTAGCTGAGAGTGGTCCTGCCACCCGGTGCGGTCAGAGGGCTGCCCATCCACCGCTCCACTCCCCATCCCGCAGCCGCTCTGGGGCCACTGGCCTCCGGACCCAGGGGAGCGTGCAGCGAGGGCAGCGGTCGTCACTTCTGCTCCGAGTTTTCCTTCTCTCCACATGAGACTTGGCAGATAAACACAGTAAAACTTTTAACACAAATGGTCACCTGTGTTTGAAATTGCGTGGCCACATCACCGTGGATGTGCCGCTCATTTTAACGCTCCTGAGTTTCCACATTCTGTTACCTTCAAGGAAGGTCACGCTGCACACATTCTCCCTTCACACATTCCCCCTACAAACGGCTGTATAAAACAGCATAGAAAATCCCTGATTTAAAAATAGGGTCTTTTAAAGGAAAATTTCTATGAGTTTCCCTCGTAAATAGAAAGTTCAAGATCCTTCATATTGATGACATTGATTTATTCTCTCAAGATTAGACTTTATATTTTAGTATAGGAGCATATGTTTACATCTATAATAATAAAAGTATAATATGCTAATTAGACCGGACGTCCTTCCAGATGAAACCATGGCTGCGGCGGGGGCCAAGCCCCTTGCACGAATTTCATGCATCGGGCCTCTAGTCAACGTATAATATACAAATAGAATTGTCCGCGTAGCTGAAATATTACAAATGCCAAAACATTATTTTCTTTCAACACTTTGGATGGAAATCTGAAATAGATTCGTCATATCCTTAAATCTAATAGAATCTTCTGTCCATAATATAAACTCCTCTTTTCGGCCCAAAGTGATTTCTTAATCATATAGAGTATGGTACTTTAATGAAACTTTGAGTCATTTAACTGACTAGCACTACTAATTCTAGATGGAACTCAGAAACTTAATGTATGAATTTCAGAGATCAGCCTGATACCAATGACTTTTAAAGAAAGTTTAAGCAGCAAAACCCATTACATATCTGTATCATATCCCTCCTGATATAATACACATAGGATCTCAGAGGATGTCTGTTCAGAAGGGAGTTGAATGGTAGGTCTCCTATTAGATGCCACAGCAGATAACAGGGTAATTAGACACTGTCATGCCCTTAAAGGGCTTGTGGTTTGGTATAGGAGATGAGCCAGGAAGGCTTCCTGGAGGAAGTGGCATTTCCCTGGTCTGGAAAGTGGGTGGTGAACTTCGTCCCAGGCAAGGGTGCAGAGGCCAGCAGTGGGGTCCCAGCACTGACAGCACAGGCCCCGGAGTGCTCCCGGCAGGGAAGGGCCACGGACGGGAGCCTGTAAGACAGCAGTCTTTCTGCAAAATGGGATGTTGAGTTAAAGGCTGAAACGCCCTAGCCCTATGTTTGTGACCTTAATAACCATCATCGTCTTCACTCTCGAGTCTTTCAATTCAACATTAGCACTAATTCCAAACAGTTGGTTGACATTGACCAACTTTAATATCCTGAAGAAGCATTGCAGTCTCTCACCCTCGTGGGTCAAAGGTTTGCAAAGCTGGGTTCGAGTTTTACAACTGTAGACATGAGCGGGACTTTACATCTTCGCATTCTGTAAACAGAGCCTGCCAGGGCGGCCATGCTGTTCGCAGTCAGGTGCTGGTGACTCTCGGGCTGGTCCCTGAAGGAGCGTAGGGAATTGGGATGTTCTGTTTCCCCATCCGGTGGGGTGGCCTGGGTGTGTCCAGACTGTAGAAGTTCTCTTGAGCTGTACACTTATGTCACCTTTTGGGAATGTGAATTCTACTTCTGTTAACAGCTTTTAAATGGCTAAGACAGAGAGAAAGGGGTTGAAAAGGTGGATAAGAGGTTCAAAGTATGTTTCCCAGAACGTCAGCAGTGGACGTTCCTTGGACACGATGCTAGGGTAGTTTTTCATTTCCTTTCTGAGGGTTCTGAGGTTTTCCAGCTGCCTAAACAGTCACCCTGCCTGGCAAACAAGGCATTTTTAATGTGATACCACGGACAAGCCCAAATCCGTGGCCGCTGCACCTCCGCGGGGTCTGGCACATGAGTGTCGTCCGCGATGGTGAGAAGACTCTACCCCGTCGGCTGCCGAGGTGCCCGCTGGCTTTAGTTTGCATCCTTGAAGCCTGTAGCCGTCTCTGGGCGTCTCTGAGTGGGGTTTATTTCTTTGCCAGGCTGAGCAGTCCAAAGAGGAGCAGAAGCAAGACCTGAACGCGGAGAAACTGCTGAGGCAGGTCTCCAAGGACGTGTGTCGGCTGCGGGAGCAGAGCCGCAAGGTGCCTCGGCAGGTGCAGTCCTTCAGGTAACCGGCCTCGGCTCTCGTCGGGGTGGGTCACCTCGGGGCGTCCTCACGCGTCTGAATCACAGAGGAGCCCCCTCGAGTGCCCTGGGCCTTAGTGTCGGGGTGCGAGACGCCCAGCCCTCTCCTCCCAGGCGGGGCGGATGAGTTTCCCTTTGCTCCTCTGGGGCCAGAGGAGCTGGCGGGGTGCCCACGGGGTGCGCCCGACGGAGGGAAAGGCTGCGGAGGCGGCGTGGGCTTCAGACTCTGAAAGACGAGTCTGGGCCACAGACTCCATGGTGAAGAGTGGGGTTCCTCCCGTCGTCGTCCCACCCCCCCGCTGCAGACGCACCGTGACAGGGAAAGTGCTCCCGGGGTCCCGCTCGGCGTGAGAGGGTGGTCTGTGCGCCCTCGGTGCTGTGGGCACCAGGAGGTGCTCCGGCAGGGAAATCGCACGACCTGGCTGCTGCTAAAACCCAAAATAGAGGTTTATAAACACTCCCCTGGCCCTTAACGTACAAGCCCGTTACACCCCCGGCAGGTGATAGAGACGCGTGAGACGGGCCGGCCTGGGGGTGAGGTGGGGAGCGTGGGCTGGGTGCTCAGCGCGCAGGCGACTGCACCCGGCTGCCGTTGCACTTGGAGCCAAGAGCCAGCGTCCCTGGTCTTGGGTTTGTCCGAGGAAGCGAGGAGTGGGGAGTTTTATGTGCGGGTCTCACACAGGACTGGCAGCTAAGTGAGCAGCTACCAGGGGTGGGCAAACTTTTTGACTTAAGGGCCACAATCGGTTCTTAAACTGGACCGGAGGGCCGGAACAAAAGCATGGATGGAGTGTTTGTGTGAACTAATATAAATTCAAAGTAAACATCATTACATAAAAGGGTACAGTCTTTTTTTTTTTTAGTTTTATTCATTTCAAACAGGCCGGATCCGGCCCGCTGGCCGTAGTTTGCCCACAGCTGAGCTAGACGCCCCACGCGAGCCAAGCAGCCCCTGTGCGGGCCGCGTTCCGGGGTCCCCTTCTGCTTCAGTGACCCCCAGCCACACCCACTTGCCTTTTTCTATGCTTACTCTGACCTCTTATGGAACGGAGCCAACCACCAGGACCTTCCACCACAGAATGACTCTCGCTCCTGTTTCCATCGTTTTCTCACTCTTCCTTTCTTGCTGTCTCTTTTCCGTGGTCTTTCCACCTCGGCTCTGGCCTCCAACCCTCACCTGCTCCCCATCCAGACCGTATGGTTCTTGGGTGGGTGGTGCCTCGTCCCCTCGGCTCCCGTGGGTCCACGAACAAGACCCGCTCAGTAAGCGTGATGGACAGCGCGAACCAGTGAAGATCCTGTGGGGAAGGGCAGGTGGCTCCTGTCTGGCAGCTAGAAGGGCCCAAAGCCTCCCTGCTCCCCTCTCTGACCTCTGGAGAGCCGCCGCCTCCTCCGCTGCCCCCTCGGGCGGTTTCAGCTGGTCCTGCTCCGGGCGCAGGACAGCGTTACCGTCTTCTCCCCTCCCTGAGGCACCCTGTTGCTCACCGGTCTGGTCGTCCTGGTTTTAAAGTGTTCCCGGTGCCACAGAGTTTTCTGAGGTTCCTGCAAAGTTCCCTCAGGTTTCAGCCTCTGAACCCTCTACTACCGGGCTCAGAAACACTCCTACCTGGGCTGACCCCCCGATGGTTTAAAAACTGCCTCACGTTGGAAACCCAGCAAGGAAGGCACTGTCACTGTCATGGTCTCGGGTGACAGACATGGTCTGCGGGTGAGGACGTGTCTGCGGGTGAGGACGTGTCTGCGGGTGAGGACGTGGTCTGAGGGTGAGGACGTGGTCTGCGGGTGAGGACGTGGTCTGCGGGTGAGGACGTGTCTGCGGGTGAGGACGTGTCTGCTGGTGAGGACGTGGTCTGCGGGTGATGGACGTGTCTGTGGGTGATGGACGTGTCTGAGGGTGTGGATGTGGTCAGACGTGGTCTGCAGGTGACGGATGTGGTGTGCAGGTGGTGGACGGGAGCCAGAGCTGGGGTCCTTCACCCGCTGTGAAGGGCAGAGGCCCTTGATTTTAAGCGGAGGTCTCCCTCAGGACAAGAGCTCGAGGGGACTCCGCAGGAGGCCGGGACTGTTTCTGCTGGTCGCAGTGTGTTCAGCACCACACTGAGGGGGGTTTGTTCCTCGCCCCGACTCTAGGGAGAAGATCGCCTACTTCACCCGAGCGAAGATAAGCATCCCGTCGCTGCCGGCCGACGACGTGTGACGCGTCCTGCAGAAATGGGTGTCTCCCTGGCCCCTTAGGGAGGAAGAGACTGAGCACTGTGGTGGGTCTGTCGGGGGGGAGGGTGTGTAACTGTCAACTCTTAGAGAGCTGTTATTTCTCATCAGAATTTCGACATGCTAATTTGTAAAGGACTTGGAATATAATTCTTATATAAAAAAGTAAGAAAAATCAGGTAACCAAGCGGGCTAATCTGGTGCCCAGATGTTGTACAGCAGGAGTGGGTTGTAAACGGAATCGGGCGAACCGGCCGAGGCGGCTCTTGCTCTTCCTGGTTTTCCTGCGAAGGCCGGGAAGCTGGCCGAGCGCCCGCGGTGTCTTGTACTGGAGAGCAGCAAGTTCAACGTGAATGAGCTTCGGAGCGGAGCTCCAGGGCCGCCTGAAGCCGGCGCTGTGTTCATCTCCGTCACCTGTGTTGGAACGCGTTTCCTTAGAGCAGTTTCTTTTTTGTCTTTTTTTGTTTGTTTGTCTAAAGAAAACAAAATGCTGAGTTCAAGCACATAGGATGCAGACCTGGAGCAGGCTCCCGGCTGCGCGGAAGGCCTCACGGCCTCTGACCCCGAGGGCAGGGGGGAGGGTGTCTGCAGCCACGGAAACACGCGCCCCTGCCCCACAGGGTTGTGGGGGGCGGTCAGGTGTGAGTCTGGCTCGTGCGGGGTGTGGGATGGTGTCAATAGAGGAACGGGGTGGCCCTCGTCCTAAGGACAGAGCTGAAGACGGGGAGGGAACCCCATCGGCATCCGTGTGGTGAAACCAGGAACAGGAAAGGGTATCCTGATTGAACCAAAGGTGCCAAAACACACACGAAGAATTGAAGTCCTTTATTAAACAGGTTTGTAACATTTCGTAGCAGCTCCTTGCAGCCTCATTGAGGGGATCCTGTCTCTCTGGGAAGGAGCTGGGAGGCAAGGAGAAGAGAGTGCCTGGGAGACTTGAAGTACTGGCTAAGCCGTCTGTCTCAAACAGAGCCGTTGCGGATGGACGCTTAGAGCTGTTGAAACGTCCCTGCAGCGTCTCCCAGCGTAGAGTTCCAGCTGGCCCAGCCCAGGCCTCCCTAAAAGGAACAAAACCCCAGTGTAGCCCACCAGCATGAAGGCGTTTAAATAGTTCTATGCAATTTAATACTCAGTTTGTAATACTGGAAGAGGCAATTTTTGGCCAGCCATCTTTTATAGCAAACTAAATCCTTTTTTTTTAGAGATGCAAAAATCATCTTAAAGGAATAGGCCCCTTTAAACACACACACACACACAGACACACACGTTCTGTTTCTAAGCAAGAATCCTCAATAGCAAGAATTTTTATTTTCTTGAAAGCAGTTACACATATTTCAGAAAGTGAATTTTATCAGAATCAAAATTCAAACGAAGCAGTTTCTGAGCCTTGAACTTGATTGTTTCCTGAGTGTCCCACCACTTACATACAAGTGTCTTTGAAGCTATAACTGGACCTGACACTACTTTGAGCAAAAACCAGCTTTGTGAATTGACCACATACAGTCCTGCGGGTCTGCCCAGTTTATTCTCTCAGCCAGGTGAGGAAAACTAGAGAAGAATACCATTCATCCTTGTCAAGGTCAAATGTGAAAGAGAAGTTTATTTAATGTAGAGATAAATGAAGGTCAGCTGTTTTCAGCTTCTTAGTTTGACCATGAAAATGTTTATAGAATTATGTGTAGTTGTACCGTACGATTTTATTTTCTTCATTTATTTATTTACGGTCTTATTTATGTTCTGTTTAATATATAGTTCGGTTCTGGCCATTTAAAATGTTTGACATAGAAGAAGCTATATTGGAATATTTACAGCTTTATAAATCACCAGATCAGCTGTTAACTTTTTGCAATACAGAAAGTTTCATATAAGAGAATAAAATCTGTCTCCGGCTGGTAGTTAGCAGTTGTGACCAAGAAGCTTTCGGTTTTATTTTACAAAATTTGCTTATTTCTAACACAAGAGAGAAACTTATTTTAATATAATCCTTTTCCACACTTTAAAAATCAGCCTTAGTGTTATGTATTTATAGGCAGCCTTTAACAATCCTGTCATATTTGTACTAACCCAAATGATTCACAGTGACACATTTTAATAACTTGATCACAAAACCATATGGACAATATGAATTTTAATATTATAAATGCTATTTTTTAAAGGTAGAATTTATTCTGCACAGGGTAAAAAGAATGTAATATTTAGTTCTCAAGTTTGAATTATCAACATGTTACTACAGTTTTGTATATCAGAATCTAAGTGTTACAGGTACAAAAGCATACTGCTAGCCAAATGAACAAAGTTTAGCTGAATCTCTGTCGCATGCAAATCAAAAAAATTTTAAATCCTTTTTTTTTTTGCTATTACTTTATATTGTATTAAATATCAAAAGCTCAGGACTGAACTAAATATTTAATCAGGTTAAATTCTGAATATGTTTCTGTTTTAATTTGTCTTGTTTGTAAAAGTGTGCAAATATATCACATAGATTAACTGGTTTCTGCACTTTTCATGTGTTTGTGGGTGGAAAATATTCAGTGGTTTTTGTTTTGTTTTTGTTTTTGTTTTTTCAACAAAGATACATATTCCCTAAGACTTTATTTGTGTCGTTTGTTGCTCAGGTAATTTCCCTGATTGGCTCAAACACAAGAATTGACTTGATCTGTGTACAGAACAAATATAAAATCTTTCATGAAGAATCCCCCAGGCCATCAGTTTGTTGTGAATACTTCTTGGTTGGACGATATGCATTGCTGATTTAAAAAAAAAAAAAGGCAGAATATTTTCATTGTGCAAGTAAAACAAGGGCTCCATATGAGCTCTGCCCACACACCCAGACCGGGCTGGCCTGCAGCGCCCCCTGCAGGGGGTGGGCGAGCATTCACCATCTGCTGCAGAGCACAGGGTCCAGATGCAAAAGCAGGCTTGTGAGTGGGTTTCAGTGACCCTTCCAATACACAAGTCTGCCCTCCTCTGCCCCTGGCCTGGGGCGGAGACATAAGTGAGTGGCCAGAACCCCTGAGGTCTCTGGTTAAAGACACGATGTGTCCACGTCTCTCACCTCTCCAGCTTTCAAAGAACAGCCGTTTTTTTAGTTTAATCAGATGTCACACATTTTAAATAAATATGCCGTGAGCCTGTTTCTGTAGAGTAGGTCATCTCAAACACTGGAGAGAAGAGATTGATGAGCAGTAACATCTCCCACTGCCAGAATGACCCGTCTCTATGAGTAACACCTTCAGGGGCGTAAGCGCGGGCAGAATGTTTCATTTACCAGTTCTGTGCAGTCACTGGGTCTACTTCAAAATTGAGGAAACGCCTCCGCAGAAACGAGCATGATTACTATTAAGTCTTGATTGGTTTTGGCCTCAGAGTAGAAGGTAAAAGTGGTTTACCGCCTGGGAAAGAAATCACAGTTCAAGGAGCCAGTCGCCACTGGGGAAAATGCATGTTAGAAAGTTGCTAGCGTGGTGCCTGGGTGACCAGGCAGCAGGGAATCCTACCCGGTCCCGGGCTCAGCAAGCGTCCCCCGGGCAGTGGCCGCCCGGATCCTCGGGCTTAGACTGTCAGCCGAGTGTTTTTCATCTCCAGGGGGTGACGGAGATACTGCGTTTCTGCCGCTGCGTAGCGGCCTGCAGCCAGCGGAGCCTGGGAGCAGCAGGCGGCCCAGGTTACCAGGCAGCCCCCGAGGAGGAGAGAGAACCCAGCGAACCAGCCCAGGAAGAGGGCTTCCCCGAACTCCCACCTGGGCACCACCTCCGGGAGGGTCTCGTCCCAGAACTCCTGCACGGTCACGTGGGCGACCCAGGAGACCGGCACCAGGACCCCGACGCCCGCCGTCCAGAACAGGACCCCTCCCAGGATCAGCAGCCACTTCTTGCACTTGCGCTGTCTCTCTCCGACTCTCAGGCAGTCCAGCCCAGACCCTGAGACCAGCAGGCCCAGGAGCCCCAGCCCGTGGGACAGGAACATGAGGATCCTGGAGACCCGGAGCTCCACGGGCAGGGCCAGGAAGGAGTCGAAGTCCTTGCATTGCATCCCCACCTCTTCCTGGACGACGCAGACTTGCCACAGGCCCTGGGTCCAGGTCTCCATTTCGTTCAGGTCCAGGTTCAGGTTCTTCCAGTACGGCAGGTAGTTGGTGAGACAGGCTAAAACCCACCCCAGCAAAGATAACGACATTGCAGCTAATTGGGCCACAGTTCTAAATACGAAAGCCATTACTATGAAGTCCCGTGAGCTTTCGCCCAGCTCACTGCTGCCTCTGGGTTGCTGTGAAAAGTGTGACGGACTTCGGTTATCACCTGCAGAGCTCAGAAATCTTTTTTCATTGTGTGTATAAGAGGATTCTTGCCAGAGCGGCTATTGTTTGATTCCATGCTGAATGGGTTTCAGGAAAGGAAAGGGAACTAATTCTGCAAACCAGTCATGTCAAGGAGTGGCCAAGATCAATTTTCTAGTAAGCAGTTTGTCCCTGAAATAACACGAAGCAGTAAGAACCTCCTTTCATTGTTAACGTCTCAATGGCTTTCGTCCGATTCCCAACCTCCCTTGCAAGTCAAAGCACAGAGAAGTCTGAATGCAAAACATGTAATTGACAGTTCGGGTTCAGCTCCTGCCGCTTTCTCTCTGGCTAATCGCACCTGCCGGGCCTCCACCCGTGACGGCTCTCACATTTCAGGACATGTGTTGTGGTAACACCGAGTGTTATTTAAAAAAAAAGTTCAAGAAAAGTATTTCTTAACCAAATAAATCCATCTCCTCAGAAATCTCTCTAGATCGTAAACCAGGCCTACTTTTTAAAAATTCCTTAGGCTACGTATACCACATAACATCTGAAACGATACTAAACACGCTCTCAAGCCTGATGACCCACAGTCCCCTCTGTCAGAGCACGCCCAGGTGCGCCAACACTCGCTTCTTCTTGGCTGCCATGTGCTCTCCACGCTGTGGCAGAGGGAGGCAACGGAACTTGTAGATTAGCACCAACATCTCTTGCTGCAGCACTAAAGTATAAAGCTTGTAATTTTGCTCGTCTGTTTTGTTGTTGTTAATCCTCACCTGGGGATATTTTTCCATTGATTTTCAGAGAGAATGGAAGGGAGGGGGAGAGACAGAGAGAGAGAGAAACATCCATGTGAGAGAGACACATCCATGTGAGAGAGACACATCGATTGGTTGCCTCCCACATGCCCTCTCCCCCGACCACCCGACCGGGGCTGGGGATCGAGCCTGCAACCGAGGTACCTGCCCTTGGCCAGAATCGAACCCGTGACCCTTCAGTCTGCGGGCCGACACTCTATCTACTGAGCCAAACCGGCTAGGGCTAAAGCTTGTAATTTTTAATTGAACAAAGGAAAGTTTTTCTCAGGGCAAGTGAACTGTCACTATCTCAATATCAAGCAAAAGTTTTTCATTGTTTAACTTTTTAATATGAAGCCTTTGAGGGATGAGACAAGAGAGGAAATTGGCCAGTATTTAGAATCTGAGAGCATCGTAATGTAAAAACCTTTTAGCCTCATAAACCCTGTCACTCACACCCGTTGCCTTGTAATTTCCTAAACACAAACCACCTCTGATCAGAGAACAAAGTCACTGTTGTGGAAATTACATTTTCAAATGAGTTTAACCTGTGGCTTTGCCAATGCAGAGTCTCAGTTTGTTAGTTTTTCTCTTTAGGAAACAAAGTAATTATTATTTCCGGTTACCAACAAAAACAAACAAAAACGATTCTAATGTAAAATAAACACATTAAAACTTAATACGGACCATATTGGACAACCACCACCAGTTTTATTTAAATAACCAGATCAATTACTTTTTTTCTTGCTCAGACCTATGTAATGCTTAACATAGTAATTTTCTTGTAGATATGAGACTGCCTCTTCTCCAGATTTTTGGGGGGAAGGGGAGATCTAGGATAAAAAAGTAATTATTATATGAGAAAAAATGAGCAGCACAGATTTAGTTACGTAACAAAGACCCCTTTTCCCGTGCGGACCTACAGCACCGTTGGTGCGGAAAAGAGGGCTCCCTGCTCTTGTCCAAGTCACACTTTCGGAGCCGCAGTCCCATTTTCCAGGCATGGACACTGTGCCTGTGTGTCTGCCGCTGCGTAGCGGCCTGCAGCCAGCGGAGCCTGGGAGCAGCAGGCGGCCCAGGTTACCAGGCAGCCCCCGAGGAGGAGAGAGAACCCAGCGAACCAGCCCAGGAAGAGGGCTTCCCCGAACTCCCACCTGGGCACCACCTCCGGGAGGGTCTCGTCCCAGAACTCCTGCACGGTCACGTGGGCGACCCAGGAGACCGGCACCAGGACCCCGACGCCCGCCGTCCAGAACAGGACCCCTCCCAGGATCAGCAGCCACTTCTTGCACTTGCGCTGTCTCTCTCCGACTCTCAGGCAGTCCAGCCCAGACCCTGAGACCAGCAGGCCCAGGAGCCCCAGCCCGTGGGACAGGAACATGAGGATCCTGGAGACCCGGAGCTCCACGGGCAGGGCCAGGAAGGAGTCGAAGTCCTTGCATTGCCTCCCCACCTCGTCCCGGACGACGCAGGCCTGCCACAGGCCCAGGGTCCAGTTCTCCATCTCGTTCAGCTCCAGGTTCAGGTTCTTCCAGTGCGGCAGGTAAGTTGTGATCATGGATAAAACCCATCCCAGCGCAGACAGTACAAGTCCAACGAATTGCATGACCACTCTCAAGACTAAAGCCATCGCAGCCAAGCTCGCGCCTTCCGCCGCCCCTATAGGAGCCGCTGTCTGTGGGGACAGCGTGTGCCGGTTGGCCTCGGGGCGATGCTGCCTGGTCATTCGCTCCTTGGCCACTCTGAAGTGCGTGTTTGTTCTTGAATATAGTGTTTCATGTAAAGGATGAGGGGCTCTGCGAAAACGGCGCGTTAGGCCTTCTGATAAGGAGCTGACCTGCTGGTAAAACTATACCCCCAATGCGCGATGGTACGAAGGCTGAGGATGAACAAAGGGGCCTCTGTGACCCTCACCCTAAAGGACAACAGAAATCTTTGTGCTTCAATATGGATTAATTAGATTTTAAGTGGTGATAAAAGGCCAGCTCTCTGGGTAACAGGACTTCATTGTGGCAGCTGAACCTGAGATTTCAGGATGCAGAACAAGCCCCTGCAAGGAAAGGCAGGCTCTCCCTATAATCTCCACTCTGCAAGGACCTCCTCAACCTACACAGCGCCTGGCCCCAGCTCTGGAGTGTCCCGGGAACTCAGGACTTGGCAGGAGCGGCGCCCTCAGATTCCTTTGAAAGGTGGACGCGGGTTCACTGGGTTAGTTAAAATGGCAGGACGGAGGCGGGTGCCCAGAGGTGCCCAGTGAGGAAGGGAGCGTCCGGGAGTCCTGGATGTCCCTGGGTGATGCCCCGGTCCTCGTTAGGGACTTGGGGTACAGCGTGGTTTTTACTCTCCCAGAGGTGTTTCCTGCCCAGAGCTGAGCTGTCTGTTCTGCCACTTCGGAGACAAAGCCGCCCGCATGAAGATCCAGCCGTTCAGGACACAAGACTCTGAAAACAAGGGCCACATGGCTGCCCTTTGAGGTTTCGTCTTGTTTGGTTTTTGTGGCCACACCTTGAGAACACACGGCAGAGCTGGCCCCTCAGGCAGGGCAGAGGCCAGGCCGGCCCGCTGCAGGGCCCAGGGCTTCCCGTTTGGCACCCGAGCCAGGAGGCGAGGTTGATGGGCCTGCAGAGACCTGCAGAGCCCCTGCCTGGGGCCCAGCCTCGGGGCCGATTCCCCTCGGCACTCGCCCGCTGGGGAGTCTAGTCGAGCATCTGAGATGATCTGTGTGACGCTGCTCAGGAGATCAGACAGACCCGCGTCCTGCTGTCTCCACACTCAGCAGAAGGGCCGGGCTAGATGCCCGTGGCTGCTGCAGCATCCTCCCCCATCAAAGATGGCTTCTCTCCTAACTTGCACAGTTTGCAGAATCCCCTAGGCCTTCCTGCTGGCCCCTTGGACCAAAATGAGAAATGGCTCCCGTTTGCACAGAGACCTGGGGTCCAGAAGGGCTAGAGCTCTGCCCAGGCCTCGGCACCAGGAGAAGGGATAGCGGAAGCAGAGCAGGCCGCGGGAGGCAGAAAGCTCCTGAGAGCGAGGCTAGCAGTTACGGGGAGTGACTCTCTTCTTGTGAATCCTCACCAGAGGATATTTTTTTCCTATTGATTTTTTTAGAAAGAATGAAAGGGAGGGGAAGAGACACAGAGAGAGGCACACCGACTGTTTGCTTCCCGCACGTGCCCCAACCAGGGCAGGGTTTGAACCTGCAGCCAAGGTACGTGCCCTTGACTGGAATCAACCCACGACCCTTCAGTCTGCAGGCCAGCGCGCTAACCACTGAGCAACCGGCTAGGGCTCAGGGAGATGACTTCATATCACATTGAAATGTTTCATTACAGATGGTCTGGGACAGGCTGCCTGTGAGCGGTGATCCCTCCATCCCAAAGGTGTGAAGGGTCGTGCCCACCTGTCCAGGCTCTCATAGAAGTAGTTTTCGCTGTGCTGGCCATTGGCTCGAGTAACCTTAAATGACCTCTAGACTCATTTTAAAAAAAATAGTCTTGAGCCTGTCCTCTGGCCAGGAGTGACTGCTGAGGACCTGAGGACACAGCCAGGACCAGCCTGGAGGCAGCCCTGCCTGTGGGGCTCGCGTCCCAGGGGGAAGAGGCCACCAGGAAACTAGGAAATAAGAGAATTCAAATCAATGGAAAAGGGGGGTGGGAGTGTCCCCAGGCAGAGGAAGCCCCAACCAGAGCCCCGAGGCTGAAGAGCAGGAAGCCCCCAGCCCACACCCCCAACGGGGGCTCCCCTTCTCCGTGTCAGGTCACGGACTAGCTGCTTAGACCTGCGGTGGGGGCGGGGGAGGGGGAAGTTCAGCCACAAAACAAGTTCTACTCCCACCACCTGCTCAGCATAGAGGGCATTACCTCTGTCTCCGGAACTTTAACCTGAAAGATGAGGAACCTCTTCAACAGGCTCAAGAGGTCAGCAGGTCCCGTACTTTCTCAGGGACCGAAGGTTCAGGTGGCCCACCGTCCCCGTCGGCCCAGAGCCCCCCATCCTGAGAACCTCAGTCCAGGGCAGAGGTGCATGAATGTCCCAAATAAACCGTCCCCACGTTTAGTCACGGAAACTAGTACTCGCGTGTCTGTGTGCTGCTGACACGTCTGCAGTGTGGGCGACTCCGCAGGGACAGTTCACCTCCGCTCCGTGGTGTGAGCTGAGGCCGAGTCCCCTGGATGACCTGGTCTCAGAGGTCGTCGGGTGTCACTGGGGCCAGACCCTCCGGCTCTCCGTAGGCGGATAGCAAGGTTCCGGGAGGGCCCAGGACTGGGAATATATTTGTGGTCATTTTTGGAAAATTGTCACAAAAAGTAAATCAGATTGGCCTGTTCATGAAGCCACTGACCACACCTAGATGCCTGGAGAGGCCTGGCAAGCCGTGCCCAGGAAGATGGCCTTTTTCTCCTCCATGTCCTGCGTTCATGCTCAACGTTAAGCTAGGGTCACACCAACTGCTCTGGGTGATGCCGACTTTGACAGGTTTGGCACCAACTCCTGCCACTGCCGGTCTGTGCCGTTGCCCTCAGCTGCCCCTGCCCTTTCTGCCAGCCCAGGGCTGGCATCAGAGGAGGAAGTCCCCAGGTGGCTCCCGTGCCAGGTTCCTGCTCTGTGCTGGTGACCAGCCTGAGCCAAGGCCACAAAGATTCGTTCTCAGGCAGACCAGCCGCACCTAAGACGGTGTGGTCCATATTCTAATTGGATGGCGCTGGGTGGCCCTTTCAGGGGAAGGAGGCGGGCAAAGGTGTCTTAAAAGAGGTTGGTCCTTGAAAATGGTGAGGGAGCTGATGGTCTCAACAGCCGGTGCTTGGGGGGCAGGGCGGGGGAGCCCACAGAAAAGGAGGCTGCAGGGCTCAGCTACGTGCAGCTACATCGTTCAGATTTTAGAATGTGGATGACCAAGAGCCTTAGAAGGGTTGTCAGCGCCTGTGACACGGGCGTTTGTGCATTACTGGTGGCTCCAGTGGTGAGCTCCTCTGTGTCATCTAAAATGCAAACGCCACACAGATAGGTCACCTGGAGCCCACTGCAGCCCCACGAGCTGAGGGTGGCAGGTGCCCCCCGAACCCCAAGGGCAGGGCCTGCTCCAGCCCCACCTCTCAGCTGGTGGTCCTGCTGCCAGATGAGGAGCCCAGGAAAAGGGATGGAAGGGGCGGGGGGGAGGGGGGGGAGGCGCAAGATATCTTTTGAGAACGTTAGAGTTAGAGACAAGACACCCGCAAATCCCATGTTAAAATTATCCTTAAAAACCCCCAAGGCCCTGGAGATGAGTGCGCGTGTCTGTGAGTCCGGCTGGCGGCTTCCCCCGTCCTTGGGATGAGGACAAGATGAAGTGGTTGGCCCTAACTGGTTTGGCTCAGTGGACAGAGCGTTGGCCTGCAGACTAAAGGGTCCCAGGTTCGATTCCTGTCAAGGGCATGTACCTTGGTTGCAGGCACACTCTATCCATTGAGCCAAGCCGGCTAGGGCTTACTAATTTTTAAAAATTTAAATCAACCTGCCCCCCAGGTGGCATGGCTCAGTGGTTGAGGGTGGACCTATGAACCAGGAGGTCAAGGTTCGATTCCCGATTCTTTCTCATCACTGATGTTTCTCCCTTTCTCTCTGTAAATAATCAATAAAATATATATATATATTTTAAAAAAAGATGAAGTGGTTGGCGTGGCCCAGCCCCTTGTAGGAAATATGTCCGTGGGAACTTCAGACACTAGAAGCAGCCGTGAGAGAGGCGGGCCCTGAGGACAGTTAACCAAGGAACAAGCAAGTCCCCTCCTCTCCAGCGAGCATGAAAAGCTACCCTTTCCCTATGGGGCTGTCCCCCTGGACCTTGGGACAAAGGCGGGGCTCCTCCTGCCAAGCACAACTGTTTTGATTAAAAGAACATCCATAGTTTATTCTGTTTTTCTTACGAGGTCTTGTCCTGCAACATGGTAGTTGTCACAATCAATACCATGAGCTCAGTAGCCAACCAGACACGCTGCCCTCACAGCCTCCATAGCTCAATGCCCATGTCTCCTACGTGTCCAGCAAACAGTATCCGTAATAAATGGCTGAGAAGGGTCCGTAGGTGATGGCGAGTGTGAATGTAGAATGTCTGTAGGTGATGGCGAGTGTGAATGTTGAGTGTCCATAGGTGATGGCGAGTGTGAATGTAGAATGCCTGTAGGTGATGGCGAGTGTGAATGTAGAATGCCCATAGGTGATGGCGAGTGTGAATGTAGAATGCCCATAGGTGATGGCGAGTGTGAATGTAGAATGCCCATAGGTGATGGCGAGTGTGAATGTAGAATGCCTGTAGGTGATGGCGAGTGTGAATGTAGAATGCCTGTAGGTGATGGCGAGTGTGAATGTAGAATGTCTGTAGGTGATGGCGAGTGTGAATGTAGAATGTCTGTAGGTGACGGCGAGTGTGAATGTAGAGTGTCTGTAGGTGATAGCGAGTGTGAATGTAGAATGCCTGTAGGTGGAGAAACCAAGATAGCAGCATAGGTAAACACCGGAGTTTGCTGCCTCGAACAACCACTTCAAAAATACAACTAAAAGACAGAACAGACATCATCCAGAACCACAGGAAGGCTGGCTGAGAGTGGGACCATCCAGTTTGCAGCTCCGTGGAAACATAAAGGACACACTCAGGGGGCAGACTCAGTGAGCACCAAAGCCCCATTGAAGCAAGTCTTGCCCCAGAGGGGTGTCTCCAGCACAGAAGTTCTCCCACTGCAGACACAGCTGATTCTCACAGCCAAT